GTAAAAAGCGCATTTGTCTTTCACCAAGGCGACCGGGGTTCGATTCCCCGATCGGACGTGAAAAGGTTTTGGGACACCTGCCATTTATTTTAATAGTGTAGGATTGTATTTGCTCAAAACAATAATTGCAACATATTATGTAACAGACAAACATTACAACTGAACACAGGGGATCGTGTTTATAGAATGAATATACATGATGGAGATGGATTTATTCAGTGAGCCAGTATAGAAGGAGACTATTCTAACCGATCAATGCAATTCACATTTTGTGTTTATCGTAAAACGCACCTGTATGCATGCAAGTGTGTCAAACCTCTGTGATAAATATATCTACTAGTTTCACGGTATATTAGTTCTACTGATACGGTCTGGCAGCAGACAGGTGCCACCACAAAGGTGATCAGTTCCAAAAAAGATACCGCTATCACGGAGAACAGGCAGTCAACAGTTTACAAACAACGAGTAATGTGCATAACAAACCAGAAATAGGTCAGAAGAAACATAAACAGCTGACTAACGTCCTGATAAATTGATAAACATATTCCAAACAAAGTACTGAAAGTAGAAATATTTCTATCAGTAAGCCTGACAAATGATGTTTCCTAAAGCTGCCAACGTGGTGTGACAGTGATTATAGATTCCTAGCGATCGCCTTGTGTCGCCTAACGAGGGATATGTGCGGACCTATAGGGTTCATGTCCTCGTCTATCTGTCCTCATCCTCTCATTAAAGTTCCTTGTGAGAAAAACAGTGCCAAGGGATATTAGACGTCCTTTGTTTTCATATGTTGTTGCAAATGGTACCGGATGCGTATAACTACAACATCATACGCTATGAGGAAGTACAACGTTGTTCAGACAGAGATACAAATGTATCGATTTTATTTTTAATGAATGAGTATGTTTATCATATGATAGAATAATTGTGATGTAACAATGTAAACCTTAACTGAAAAATAGACATAACGAGTTTTATGAAATACGGTAATTAGCTATCCTCGCAATCCAGGGGTTCCACTCACTACGCTCTCTACACCCCTGGAATATGTCATAGCAAAACGGAAGGCACAAAGACAGCTGCTCGATTGGTATCAGGGTACAAAACCATACAAATCGCTTGGCTGATACCTGGCCTTTGAAGATCACAAAAGGGCGACACCCGAATTTACAGTCAGTATATATCTACCGTTACGCGACCGCGAGATTCTTTTGGTGTACATCAAAGTCAATTTTTCTATGACATATGCCAGGGGTGTAGAGAGCGTAAGTGAGCGTAACCCCTGGATATCGAGGATGCTAGTTAGCCAGCATTATTTTAAACATATCCAATCGGACCATGACTGGCTACAATGAAGAACGTAACAAACGACTGTGTAGGACAATGATTGTGTAAAATTAAGTTTCGTTTTCTGCATTGTATGGCTATTATATCCACTGACCCTGTTTCAAGATTTCCGAGACATCATAGAAATACAGCAGAATGGGAAGTGCTCAAAACAAAAACTAAACACGTTGCAAATGCACAGTTTGTTACTACATCATTATTTACTGGTTTTCATGTAAAATGTGTCAAAGTAAATCCACTCTACACGGGCACAGTCGTCCAGCTCGGAGCGTGGTGGGCAGTAAAGGTCAAGTATCAAGGACGATGTGCAGTACTAGGCGCTCGGGGGTAGTGTATGGTACATATCGAGTACGACAGACATCGCTACTAAGGTATATGCTAAAGATGCAAAAAGAGCGTGCAGCGTAGGGTCAACTCAAGGATGGTGTCCAGTTAGGGTACAGGTCAGTGATGGCGGGCAGTGTAAGATAAACTTGCCATGATAAACCATGATGTTAAGGTTTAATTTTAAAAAAAAATATGTAACATTGATCAGGGCCCGATATACTTTAGTTCAAATAAAATGGTTGTTTTCGTCTACTAACAACATCGATTGTCGACTGTGCGTGTAATACCGGTATTGCTGTGTATGTATCGATTGCTATCGTCATTAATTGATATCTCGTGTTACCGGTGAGTGACGTACAACACGTACATGGCCCGATAACTTGGTATCAGGTATAGTATACCGTTGAGTCATTAACGAGTGTGTTTAATGCCCTCTAGACGATAGTGGGTATTTTACTGAACTTTATGAATAGTTGTACTTGTAGTCCTACACACGAAGACGAGTGTCAACATTCAGTCCAGGGACCCCAAATTTATGCTCATTAGCGTCATTGACAGAGATTAGGTCAGTAAAATTGAAGTAAATACCTAATGAGTCTAATTGATTAAATCGTATTCAAAACCGTAATCATATTGAACCTAATGGTACAGGGCGCCAATTAAAACATAAAGATATAGAGCTTTGAGTAGGAGGATAGGTAATTCGTCATTAATCGTTCTATTGTATTTTCTCAGTTGGAACCATGAACGCCATACCCCGTTACTGGTACTATTGGATCACCTTGTAGAGAGGAAAGCCAGCATGCCATTCCATCTACATTTATTCATGTCATACCGCTAACTATTGAATGATATACAGTGCAATCATATTATAACTGGAGGTAACGCATTTAGTTGATTTATGATCATTTTGGAACATCATTTATGTTATACCCATAGATTCTGAGTAACATATAATGCAAAATTAGTATACCTATCATGCTATACCTACCATCCCTAACACAGACACGCACCCTGCCCACTCTCCCAAACCCCCAAATCCACACACATACCTTGCCCCTTCCCCAAAAACCAAACATACATATATCCTTCCCCTTCCCCTACCCCCAAACACACATACTCTGCCCCTTCCCCAACCCCAAATCCACACGCAACCTGCCCCTTCCCGTACCCCCAAACACACATGCACCCTGCCCACTCTCCCACCCTAAAATACACACACATACTCTGCCCACTCCCCCACCCCCAAACACACACACACACATCCCTACCCTTGGTTGCATATTGCAACAGATGATCAGAACAACACCATATTGAATGCATTAGCATTTTGTATCCTAAGTGACCATATATTATATCGACCAAGTGGGCTGTCGTCAGAACAGTCTACTGGTCGGTAACATGTTAACCATTAAGTTTTATAAAGATACACACCATTAAATGTTGTCATGTAATCTCTGCTATTTACTTAATTACCCCTATTGCCAGACAAAGAATTTCATTTAGGAATCCGCCTTATAAGGAAGGCGGAACTTCACTGATCCTAGCACTGTATTTGTTACCTGTAATTTGTTTATATCCGCTTGTAATGCAGTTCTACATTAATTAATCTATAGGATGATCCGGTTTTAATTACACACTCTTCTTGTGTATATCTATACACATAGACTTGTCACAGTTATAAATTTACATATCAGACAATAGCGTGTCAGTCAACCAATACCAATCAGCTATAATCATGTTTTAATTAGGTAAGATATACAACAATTAAAGCGCAATAGTGATCAAACCTAGCTGTCTATCAGACTTCCTGTAGAGGCTGGGTGAACAATTTAACGCTGATCTGGGGTACATACCCCTAATATATATATATATTCACGTCATGTGGCATACCAATATAATCCAAATCATTTCCATTATACCATTGCAATGTAGGAATCTTAACCAAAGCACGCCCTTAAAAATGCCCCGATGTCATGCTGGAACACTATGTGTGAAGAAGCATCGAGAACGGTTGATACTACACTCACTGATCGACTTCTCCATATAATCACAATACAGGATTAACCACAGGTTTTATTTCAACTTAGATAAGTTAAATTAATGAAAAAGAAAGTTTTACCGAACAAAAACTCAGAAAAAACCCCAGAGGTTTAATAACACAGAAGTATTTTATTTACATTTAAGTATTACCTGCGCGATAGAAAGATCGACAAATATTTGGGCATTAGAAAATGTTATTATCGCTTGTCTATTGAAGCATAATATTGCATTACATAACGTCATTACAAGCTGCCTACACACAACCGGCCCTCACTGTAGACAGGGAGAGCTACCATGTGCGGATGGAGCAAGTACTGTCAAATAAGAACACCAGAACAAAAAGCAAAACCACGAGTAAATGATACTCTTAACGATACAGCAATCCAATGGCCGTGTAACAATATGTTGTGTGATGTTATCATTCTTTGTTATCGTGTCACCATCTCACTTTATGATATTTTTAATATTCTATGTCATTATAGCTATAGGGTTTTGATGTTAACGTCTTGTGTATCAATACCAACGCTCTGATATCAATGTCATGTTTTAGTGTATCAGCATGCTGTATAATGATATCAGCGTACTGTGTGATGATAAAACGTATTCATTGTTTGACATTTAAGGACCAAAACAGCATTGTAAATCACAAACTTAAGTGAGAACATTTATCGTTAAAATTTGATTGATCGAACTTTTGACACATCAAGTATGTCTGAGGACTTAATATATGTAACCAAGACGTGTGTAATACACGGTTTGTCTCGCACTACATCACATATATAAGATCAGTTTCATGATGAAGTCGACATCTGTACATATCTATGACATCACTGTTTGGTATAACATGCTGGCAGATTGAACATAAATAACGAATTCTGTGTATGCAACCAAGCATCAAATATTTAACATTCATGTACTCTCAACAACACTTTTCTGATAAGACAATATACACAGAAACTTTGTTATATAAACTTAAGTTCAAAACATGCCTTGTTTAAGTGGTGGTCAAATATAAAATGATGAAAATACTCCTAAACGCTCAATATGAAAACATTTGAGAATTGGCTTGCATTGGTGGTAACCGTCAGCAGGGTATACTTGTTATTATGTAACATTAAACATGCATTACCTACAGAACGGCAGACGTAACCGCATTAGTCGTCTCAGTTGGTTGTAGATTAGCCTTTAATTTCTAGTCAAACAATATGGTTTTAACATTTATATCACAAAAACGTTCAAATGAATGAAATTTTCAAACTTACAAGAACAACTAATAAACCTACCTTCCGGCTCAAGAGAGATCGCAGCCGATCGTAGTCCTACCGGGTTGATCGTCTTTCCATTTGTAACGACACTTTGCATGCTCTGCGCATTCTTCAGTATCACTTGTAGTTCCATATAATCCGTTCCATCCTTGCTGTCCCCACAGTCTGTAACACCCAGTAACACAGGGTCTACACTCATTGCCAGCGTCTGCTTGGCCGTACACAAACCGGTCAGTTTATTTAGGGGTTCTGTAGCATTTCTCGGAAGAAGGTCGAAAGTTACAGACAAATTCTTTGAAGACAAATTCAAAATCAAACATGATCCTGAGGTCAATAAAGTGACCTGCCCAGTGGCTATTGCACCAGCTGTTTGAGCAGACTCCTGGCCTGGTTTAGCTTGAGGACATGCAAACGTGAATGTTAGATCCAAAGTTGCGGAATTAAGAAATCTACCCGTTAATAAAGACAAAGTTTCCGATGAAAAATCACTTCGTATTTGGTATTGAACATCACCCGTATCTACTGAATCGTGTTGCGGACGATCACTCTCGGATATAGAAACGTTTAACTCTACAGCCCCAGTGACTAAAGTTATTATTTGGATGCTGTGTAAAATCCAAGCAACTATAGTTGTCAGTTTTAGAGCCATGCCGATATGTAAAGGACGGAGACTAGGGTCACTGCCGTATCACCACATTAAACAACGAGAATTGTCAGCACCAACCACGTAATCACCAGACTTTTATCTCTCCGTCACCATTGGCTACCAGTGGGGACATCCCATGTACAGTGTATCACCTGCTTCACTTAAATTCGTCTCAATAGTAATATTTCATAAGTTATCCTCCCCGGCATCCGACTCGATTGGCACACCGTCCGTTATTGGGTGTAGCGCGCTTCAATGAGCAAGAGACTGTGTTCGATGTTGATACGTTGTGGTGCTGTAGTATACGGCACGCAGCGCGCTTACTACGCCAGACACCTCCAGTTAATTCATAAAAAATGGAAGAGGCTTCACATTCTCACGCACAGAATTCAGTCATAATAACAGGACGATGGTATTGAGAATATTCGGATGGTAATGGTTCTTGGCAATTTGCTTATGTGACAAATATCTGAAGTAATGGAAACCTACTGTTACCGTGGCATTGGTATTACACAGTAGATATAGCCGTGGTCAGGACTAATCGGTTCCTTGCGTTTATTCCGATAATTGTTTTCTCTGTCGTTCTGAATAGCAAAAATATATGCAATGTGTGTACAGAAAACAAATAACGTTGTTCCACACACGTCCGAGGTAAGAACTGTACTCCCTACGTTATAAGTACGCCCGTCAATATCCTGTTGTAGTATAACAGAGCTATGTTATTTTCAGTTTACGGATATTATCGACGGCACTCCAGCCTGATCTGTCACCCGTGAAACGGCTGTATCGGTGACACGGAAAAGGTCTGGGAGCAAGTAGGGTCAATATTGCAATACATGTACGTTTTGTCCTCTGGGTTCCTGTATGTACAACTAAACCGACAAAAAACATTGATCTATGATTGTTTTTTTTTCTAAATTATTTGGATTGACAGACCTACATGTATGGTTGGTGCTCGTCAAAACAACACGCTGCTTCAGTGCAGACGCGGTATGGTATAGAGTAACAACAAACAGTATTGTAAACAGCTGAAATAAGAAAAGTATAATTACTAGTAATAGCATATGTGTTAGTGTGTTTGTGACTGGCCATCGTTCTCTGGTCTAATACCTACTTAATGTCTCACCTTTCTCTAACCAACCTAATACGTAAGCTTCTTTAACCCACTGGAGTCTATACACAGGTATATCAATCATTATGACGGATCATAAACAGCCGAATTATTTGTTTATCCGGTCATGGCCGGGTGAGGGTCATACTAACAGAACGAGAAATTCACAAACATACTAGTATGATATTCACTGTGCTAATTATACATGCACCGTCCAATTTATAGAACGGTCCAATATTTGTTACCACTGCAGATTAACTGTGTCGGGAACTGACGAACAGTTATGTCCTCTATGTAATAACTGTGTTGGTGACGAATACCACTTTTTACTTATGTATCTGTTGTAGCTCTTAGACAACTTTATATACCAAATTATCATTATGTCAACCCAACTTATATCAAAATAAAAGGAATGTTCTCAATATGTAAAACGGTACTTTTAACAAAAGCAAGTAGATTTATACAAAAAGTAATGAGGTTACTTAATATCTAAAATAAATCAGCTACAAGAATTATTGAAATATGTTGGTATTGTATAAATTGTATTATGTGTCATATCATGTGCATACTATGTCCATCAGTGTATAATATGCAATATTTGACCTCTTGTAACGCACGTATACGTGAGGTTTGAGTGTAAAAATAAAGCTTGTTACGCACGTATACGTGTGGCGTGAGTGTAAAAATAAAGCTTGTTAAGCACGTATACGTGTGGCGTGAGTGTAAAACTAAAGCTTGTTACGCACGTATACGTGTGGTTTGAGTGTAAAAATAAAGCTTGTTACGCACGTATACGTGTGGTTTGAGTGTAAATCTAAAGCTTGTTAAGCACGTAAACGTGTGGTGTGAGTGTAAAACTAAAGCTTGTTACGCACGTATACGTGTGGTTTGAGTGTAAAAATAAAGCTTGTTACGCACGTTTGCGTGTGGCGTGAGTGTAAAAATGAAGCTTGTTACGCACGTATATGTGTGGCGTGAGTGTAAAAATAAAGCTTGTTACGTACGTATAAGTGTGGCGTGAGTGTAAAAATAAAGCTTGTTACGCACGTATACGTGTGGCGTGAGTGTACAAATAAACCTTGTTACGTACGTATACGTGTGGCGTGAGTGTAAAAATAAAGCTTGAGACTTGTTTCTGACCGTACAGTATTATTTGTCGGTTTCTATTGAAACGTGCTCCTTTGTTACAATACATGTGTTTTACCTTCTTACAGTAATACCAATTACGCCCAGTAATACCAATCACGCCCAGTAATACCAATCACGCCCATTAATGCCAATTACGCCCAGTAATACCAATCACGCCTAGTAATACCCCGGTAATACCAATCACGCCCAGTAATATCCCAGTTATACCAATCACGCCCAGTAATACCGATCACACCCAGTAATACCAATCACGCCCAGTAATACCAATCACGCCCAGTAATACCGCAGTAATACCAATCATNCACACCCAGTAATAGCCCAGTAATACCAATCACGCCCAGTAATACCAATCACGCCCAGTAATACCCTAGTAATACCAATCACGCCCAGTTATACAATGTACCAATCACGCCCAGTAATACCAATCACGCCCAGTAATACCCCAGTAATACCAATCACGCGAAGTAATACCAATGACGCGCAGTAATACCAATCATGCCCAGTAATACCCCAGTAATACCAATCACGCCCAGTAATACCAATCACGACAAGTAATACCCCAGTAATACCAATCACGCCCGGTAATACCCCAGTAATACCAATCACGCCCAGGAATACCCCAGTAATACCAATCACGCCCGGTAATACCCCAGTAATACCAATCACGCGAAGTAATACCAATGACGCACAGTAATACCAATCATGCCCAGTAATACACCAGTAATACCAATCACGCCCAGTAATACAAATCACGCCCAGTAATACCAATCACGCCAAGTGATACCCCAGTAATACCAATCACGCCCAGTAATCCCCCAGTAATCCCAATCACGCCCAGTAATACCAATCAAGCCCAGTAATACCAATCACACCCAGTAATAGCCCAGTAATACCAATCACGCCCAGTAATACCAATCACGCCAAGTAATACCCCAGTAATACCAATCACGCCCAGTAATACCAATCACGCCAAGCAATACCAATCACGCCCAGCAATACCAATCACGCCCAGTAATACCCCAGTAATACCAATCACGCGCAGTAATACCAATCACGCCCAGTTATACCCCAGTAATACCAATGACGCCCAGTTATACCAATCACGCCCATGTATACCAATCACGCCCAGTTAGACTTTGTTTACAGGTTTAGGGGGGAAATGTGTTCAAACGTACTTTACCTACTTTCTATCGAGACAATGTTGTGCTAAACATTCAACACTAAAACCTCTTTATACTGACGTCTGTTACTTGACAGTAATACCCCAGTAATACCAATCACGCCCAGTAATACCAATCACGCCCAGTAATATCCCTGTAATACCAATCACGCCCAGTAATACCAATCACGCCCAGTAATACCCCAGTAATACCAATCACGCGCAGTAATACCAATCACGCCCAGTAATACCCCAGTAATACCAATCACGCGCAGTAATACCAATCACGCCCAGTAATACCCCAGTAATACCAATCACGCGCAGTAATACCAATCACGCCCAGTAATACCCCAGTAATACCAATCACGCGCAGTAATACCAATCACGCCCAGTAATACCCCAGTAATACCAATCACGCGCAGTAATACCAATCACGCCCAGTAATACCCCAGTAATACCAATCACGCGCAGTAATACCAATCACGCCCAGTAATACCCCAGTAATACCAATCACGCGCAGTAATACCAATCACGCCCAGTAATACCCCAGTAATACCAATCACGCGCAGTAATACCAATCACGCCCAGTAATACCCCAGTAATACCAATCACTCCTAGTAATACCAATCACGCCCATTTATACCAATCACGCCCAGTTAGACTTTGTTTACAGATTTAGGGGGGAAATGTGTTCAATCGTACTTTCCCTACTTTCTATCGAGACAATGTTGTGCTAAACATTCAACACTAAAACCCCTCTATACTGACGTCTGGTACTTGACGCCGGTACCAGATATCAATTTGACAACATTAAAACAAGAAACAGGATTGGGATATTTTCAGGTTTTACATGTAATATGCAGAAAATTGGATCAAAATTAAAATTAAGTATATTTTGGTTTTTATTTCCATTCGTGCGTCGACGTTGCCTGATATTACATAACTACTTGCTATGTGCAGTTCTCTTTGTTAAAAAACATGATTTCAGATATTTTAAAAGCAACGATTGATATCTATAAAACAACTAACGGTAATTCCGGAGGGCTGCATTTCTGCTTAGGTTTCAAATTTCACGTTCGTAAACGAACAAATAAAAATAACAACATGTACATCCACACCAACTACATTTAAACCTTCAGGTCGTTCATACCTAAAACACGGGTCAAAGAAAACATTAAATATTAAGCTATGTATTTTGTTCAGATTTGTAGAAAAAAAATACAAGAAAAACGTAACTACAATATGATTTGGACTGGAATTTTGTTAACCTTTCAACAAAGATAAGGTCTTATTCTAGAGAGGATATCTTTCATTCGAGATGAAATCGACTTAATGCCGAAGCGACAATTATTTGTTTTATTTGGGGAACTGACTGATGACTTGACGTGTCATTTAAGCAATGAATGTTAAAGCAAATGTTGTTATGGTCCTATAAAACACATTGCTATTGATGTAAAGCCTGGCAATAACAATGTGTCTTATAGGACCAGAACACTATTTGCTAAAATATTCATTAATCATATTTACATTTTGATAGAGTAGTTAGGTTGTATTTAGTTATTTCCAACAGTTCTTTGATCAGCAATTTAATTGTGGACAACAGCGAAATTGATGACGTCACAATAGAGATTGACTACGATACAATAGCAATTGTTGTTATAGTCTCATAACAACATTTACATTTTCAGTGCATTGCAGTGGAAGGATGCAGAACAAATGTAAAAAGATCATAGAGAACGTTGTTTAATAATGAAATTATTTTTAAATGAAAATTGTAAGGTAATAATTTGTCATGTTAAACCATTTTATCGACACGAAGTATATAACAAACTTATATAACTATACGTCCTGGTAAAAAAGTATATAACAAACTTATATAAATATACGTCCTGGTAATAAAGTATATAACAAACTTATTTAAATATACGTCCTGGTAATAAGGTATAGAACAAACTTATATAACTATACGTCGCGGTAATAAAGTATATAACAAACTTATATAAATATACGTCCTGGTAATAAAGTATATAACAAACTTATATAACTATACGTCCTGGTAATAAAGTATATAACAAACTTATATAACTATACGTCCTGGTAATAAAGTATATAACAAACTTATATAACTATACGTCCTGGTAATAAAGTATATAACAAACTTATATAACTATACGTCCTGGTAATAAAGTATATAACAAACTTATATAACTATACGTCCTGGTAATAAAGTATATAACAAACTTATATAACTATACGTCCTGGTAATAAAGTATATAACAAACTTATATAACTATACGTCCTGGTAATAAAGTATATAACAAACTTATATAACTATACGTCCTGGTAATAAAGTATATAACAAACTTATATAACTATACGTCCTGGTAATAAAGTATATAACAAACTTATATAACTATACGTCCTGGTAATAAAGTATATAACAAACTTATATAACTATACGTCCTGGTAATAAAGTATATAACAAACTTATATAACTATACGTCCTGGTAATAAAGTATATAACAAACTTATATAACTATACGTCCTGGTAATAAAGTATATAACAAACTTATATAACTATACGTCCTGGTAATAAAGTATATAACAAACTTATATAACTATACGTCCTGGTAATAAAGTATATAACAAACTTATATAACTATACGTCCTGGTAATAAAGTATATAACAAACTTATATAACTATACGTCCTGGTAATAAAGTATATAACAAACTTATATAACTATACGTCCTGGTAATAAAGTATATAACAAACTTATATAACTATACGTCCTGGTAATAAAGTATATAACAAACTTATATAACTATACGTCCTGGTAATAAAGTATATAACAAACTTATATAACTATACGTCCTGGTAATAAAGTATATAACAAACTTATATAACTATACGTCCTGGTAATAAAGTATATAACAAACTTATATAACTATACGTCCTGGTAATAAAGTATATAACAAACTTATATAACTATACGTCCTGGTAATAAAGTATATAACAAACTTATATAACTATACGTCCTGGTAATAAAGTATATAACAAACTTATATAACTATACGTCCTGGTAATAAAGTATATAACAAACTTATATAACTATACGTCCTGGTAATAAAGTATATAACAAACTTATATAACTATACGTCCTGGTAATAAAGTATATAACAAACTTATATAAATATACGACCTGGTAATGAAAGGTTATTTAAATATCACTAGTAAATCATTTCGAGTTGTTTGTAAACTAAATAACTTGGTATGAGACTATGGACATCAGGGTGCTTTGGGTTGCTATAGGGGTAGCGCTTTGTCCTGATTTAGACCCATATAGTGTACGGTTAACATAGCATTGTAGAACTCGACATCTCCCGTACGTAACAGTTACGCAGAAATAGAATACGTAAAATGTACTCATAATTTAAATACATATAATTTTCTTTAATTCAAACGAGTCCTCCGGATTTATTGTTTCGTTCCGTAAATTTAATAAACCAATCGTACTACTTTTATACACGATATGTACAAGATATGTACACGATAGATGTGTTACGTTGTATAGTAAAAAACAACTGTACTTTAGTTACAAGGGTCAGGTCCACTGAATGATTGAGGAAATTATCGGCTGCGAGTTGTTTGTTCTGTCTAACTCCCAGAATTAAGTAGGGACCATCAAGTGCTAATGTGTTATGTTAATGGAGTTCTATGTATTGATGAGAGAGGAACGGCTAAACTCTTCATCCATATAGCTAAGTCGTGCTCCGATACTCAAACTATTACGGGGAGACCAGCCGGTGTTTGGATTCAAACATCTTCGTTTCTTACAGCAACGTTATATTTAAATCAGTTATGTATAAAACATGGTTGTCGCCCCTCATACATACAGGATAACGTCAATTAATAGAACGCGGCGACAGAGTTATGTCTAGTACATGGATGTATGTGTCGATATGGAAAAATAAACAGTTAGGAAAGTCAAAAAAATGGCTGCCAGAAAGTTCGAGTCTGCTAAGCCAATGGCTAGCAGTTTGAGACGCATGCTTGCAATGTTTTAATACTTATGCACGTGTGTTCACATATCCTTATTGTATGTTTAGAGATTATTACAAATAGGATGCCTTTATTAAGAGATCAGAAATGTGTATTGATCATTATTGTCAGTGCGCGTTATTATTTATAGATCAGTAATGCACAGAGGTTATCATAGCCAATCATTAAGACATTCCTAAATTTTAAATTCCGTTATGGTATTCAAACCAGTATCATTGAATGCTGCTAATGTTTTAATACCCTTGTAACATGTACTTAGTTATTATTTTCATCAATAGATCATTATTGTTGACAGATTAGAAGTATTATAGGACATAATTTAATCTTGACTGTAACAAGCATTGTCATTGGCTGAAAACATCATGTTATCAGCCCATAACGTAAAAAATGACGTCGCCGTTTGTAACGTCGCTTTTGAGTGGCTGATACAGCAGCGCAACAATTTCTAAGAGAAAAGAGTCCATCAATAAAAGTGGATTTCCAAAGGGATTGTGTAAAGTAGATTAAATTATAAGGATTGACTTGTATATATTTTTTATGTTATGGAGCTATATTTGTTTAGAGTACACTCCGGTTTTTTATATTATGGAGCTATATTTATTTAGATTACACTCCGGTTTTATATATTATGGAGCTATATTTATTTAGAGTACGCTCCGTTTTTTATGTTATATCTCCGTAACATAAGTTAATCCTTCAATAATTATAGTTGTGATAGATCGCCATCGTAGATATAGCATTCGTGTTCACCGGGAATGTCGCTATCCGAGTTCCTTTAGTGTACATATAGATATCATTCGAGTTCCTTTAGTGTACATATAGATATCATTCGGAACAAGAGTTCACATCATATCTGAAGAAATGAAACCATATCTCGTGAGGCGGACTTTCAAAGGTCGAAACTTTTTTTTCATCTTCAATACTCTGATGATAAAATTTGTCAATTGGTAAACATATATACATTTTTAAACTTGTCCTACCATGGAAAAGACTAGATAACGGTCATTATTTTCTGGCGCCACCATCTCTGGAGGATCTATAGTTATAAACCTTGTCCCTACCGAAAAGAAAAGGAAGATCTCCCATGATCAGTTTGTGCACCAATCTGAATCGTCGCAATAAGAACAACGATGAAAATGTGACAAATGTTCAATTTAAATTTGTTATTGTTTAACAAACATTAAACAAAAGTTATTTTCTGATTAAACATGTAACACGGTCAGTCATATTGGCCCTTGACCTGCGGCGTCGGGCCAATATGACAGACCTCGGCCTAATAACTGGGCCAATATGGAATTAACTAATTATTAACCCTATGTTTAACATCAATTTTAGTCTTTTTATCATACATATTCGTCTTTTTATCATCAATATTATTTTATTCGTCATCAATGTTCGTCTCTTAATAATATTCGTCTATTTATCATCAATATTCGTCTGTTTATCATCAATATTCGTCTTTTTATCATCAATATTCGTCTTTTTTATCATCAGTATTCGTCTATTTATAGCCAAACCTTTGCTTATTTATCATTAATAAACGTTTCTCAATTTCTTTATTTCATTACACGAGACGTATAGATACGGGAAGGACAATAGTAGGTATTTTACAACCCGGCCACTAGTTTATCTCCATATGGAATACGGATTTAATATATAAATCGCACGTGATTCTATTTCCATACGTCTGAGGACAGTGTGAAGGCGGGTAATTGTCGTCAAGGCTTCCCAGGAGAGAAGTTGTGTTCAAACAAAGTAATTGAATGAAGATTGTTGCTGAATCATCAGGAATCGTTCCGGCCTAGCCACTGGGCGAGAATTTGAGGGGGTCTTGTTTCTTCATAGGTCCAACATTCGAGGGCGGATAATGTTTTCCAGTGTATCTCCCGGGAACTATGAAACGTGGCTGTTGTTTCAGAGAAATTTGTTACGTACTTGGATCCGTACAGTGTAACGCGTGGTGCACGCCTCCACAGATATGTTCTACAGGTTTTATTGTCGGACCAGCTGAGCACTTGTTAAACAGTCATGTTAACTTCTGTTTTAATCTTTTCCGTTCCTTAAGAATTGTTAAATGTGATTACTTTCCATGTTGAAAACTTAAGGATAGGACAACCTCTATAGATAAAAACCCGAAAACTTATACATTGGAGGTGGGTTTAGTGAGATTCATGAATGCCAGTATATTCAGCTAAACAAGGCTATACATAATTGGAACTCTTTAGAAATAGAAACAACATACCTCGTCGTCCGTGAGACAATCTGAAGACACTCGCCGTCGACGTTAAATAGAAGCACAAGTTCAGTGGGAACTGATCATTTGTTGATAAAATATCTAAAAAAAACACTAAACCCTACTATTGTTACTAAAGTGAAAAACAGTTTTATTAAAATCGATAGTAGTAAGATAAAAACTACCCGGGCCTAGGGATTTTACACTAATGTCATTTCCATTTTTATCCGTATTCCAAACAGCTCTACACCACAGAGAGAAAAGAATTTTAACCAAATATTTTGAGATTTGGTGAAGATTTTTGACCCACCTTCATTGCCAAGATTTGCTGTACGTTCCTCAACTCCGTTCTCTAATTTGAAGTTGGAAGCTATCTATCACTATGTCTACCCTATATCGTGTGGAGGCCATCTATCTCTACGTCTACCCTATATCGTGTGGCGGCCATCTATCTCTACGTCTACCATATATCGTGTAGTTTGGAGGCCATCTATCTCTACGTCTACCCTGTATCGTGTAGTTTGGAGGCCATCTATAACCACGTCTACCCTATATCGTGCGGAGGCCATCTATCTCTACGTCTACCCTATATCGTGCGGAGGCCATCTATCTCTACGTCTACCCTATATCGTGTAGCTTGGAGGCCATCTATCACTACGTTTACCCTATATCGTGTGGAGGCCATCTATCACTACGTCTGCCCTATATCGTGTAGAGGCCATATATCACTAAGTCTACCCTATATCGTGTAGAGGCCATATATCACTAAGTCTACCCTATATCGTGTAGAGGCCATATATCACTAAGTCTACCCTATATCGTGTAGAGGCCATATATCACTAAGTCTACCCTATATCGTGTAGAGGCCATATATCACTACTTATACCCTATATCGTGTGGAGGCAGTCTATCTATACGTCTACCCTATATCGTGTGGCGGCCATCTATCTCTACGTCTACCCTATATCGTTTAGAGGCCATATATCACTACGTCTACCCTATATCGTGAGGAGGCCATCTATCTCTACGTCTCCCCTATATCGTGGAGTTTGGAGGCCATCTATCACTACGTTTACCCTATATCGTGTGGAGGCCATCTATCACCACGTCTACCCTATATCGTGTGGAGGGCATCTATCTCTACGTCTAC